TGCAGTTGGTGTGTCCCCCTCAACTGGTAGGTAGTAGATGCATATTTTCAACTTTTACTCAGCTGACTGGATAAGATAATTACTACTATTGACATAAAATTGTCAGGGCTGATTAAAAACCACTAAATTGAAATAGGAAAAAGTGTAATTTACATTCCAATTTAGGTCTGAGGGTGCCATTTCCAGTCATCTTGGAGTGCCATAACCCCAACCATATAGTGCAGATGTGCTCCCTCTTTAAATTTCTGGAGGTGACTGATTTGTGTTGTTTAAAGTAAGCATCTTGTCCTTAACTATCAAGACACAGCTGTTCTCTTGTTCTCTTTCCATTGCAGAACGCGAGTTTATGTATCGCCGGAGTTTTCATGATAACAGCCTATCAAGCTACATGGAAAAGATAGGGGAAGGAGATGCAGAAGATCAAGCTGATAGTGATGATGAGCATCCACTCCAAGACTCCAAGGACTTCAGCAGACCAAAGCTCAGTGACCATGATGAAGGTAAACTCAGAGAGTCCCACATAAAACATTGCTGGACTCCATTGTGTTATAAAAACTGAAACAACTAGTTTTTCACCTTTGCAATATAACATGTTGATTTCAATTAGTGCATACTGCCAAGGCGTCTGTGCACATCACATTATTTATTTTGGTCTTTTGTTCAAACACATCCCTGTGGCTGATCCAAAAATGTCGAAAGCAGGTGGTGGGGACCGATTAAGAGTCAACCCTACCCTTGGGGGCGGTCCCAGGAATTTTTTTTTTCTAGACACCCGGAAATAACACCTGAGGTGTTTTGAGTAGTTAACTTCTTTTTTTTTTGTTTTTTGTTTTTCTTTTTTTTCTGTTACTTTCCAAGCCTCTACCGCCCCCGCCCCACCTCCTAAATGCACCCCTGCATTAAGCTCCCTGGGAAGTATTCAGCAATGTACAGTAAGTAATTAGGGCATAGATATGTATACTAACTGTACAAGCTTTCTAGTTATTTATTTTTTTGGATATAAGGAATGGCTGTTGATGCAGTGAACAAAATATTTTTTTATATTGATTTTTTTTAAATTGTAATTTATAAAACATCTGTAAGTGTTGTCTAAGCAAGTTTTATTAAAAAATTAGCAGTATATAGAAAAGTTTACACTGAAGAAGTGATTGTCTGTGTCTCCTTTTGTAGCCCGGCTAAACTCTTGCATCGATGGTATTCGCAATGTAATGGGTGACAATGTACCAGAGCATGTAATGATCGACACAGTACTCAAGACGAATTTTAGCCTTGAGAAGGCTCTTGATTCTATACTTCATACACAAACAAATGAAAAGCAACCAGCGAAGAAACCTGTGCCAAACGTAGTACTACAGGGACCTGGCGCTAAACCAAAGAATCCACAGAGAACAGGTTGGTATACCAAGTCTTTGATATTTGCTTTTGTTGGTTGTCATGGTAATGAGTGCAGTAGACAAATTTACAATTTTGGCCATGTTTGTTATGACAAATTAAAACAGGCCAATGTTTTTGTATGATAAAAGTAAACATTTCCACATCACTTAATCAAATTATATGGAACACTCCGCAGTGTTGGAAAAAATTAAAACGATGCTATATTTCTGTTTACAAGCATTCTTTTTAAAAATGGTATAAATGATGGTCATAGAATGCAACTTAAGCAGTCTTCAGTAGCAGATGTAGTTTGCTTCAAAAGCAGTAAAGTTTGCCTGCATTTTTTGAACATTCACTCAACTAGAAGAGACTTTGTAACTGAACAGTTCATAGGTCACTAAAGCTGGGCACACACTGTGGTGACAGTCATTATCTGACCAGATTCCATGCAAAATGCAACGCAATGATGTGCACATGGCGGATTGTTCTTAAAGAATATCTGCTCAGACTGCCACCATAATCAAAGCCTGGTTTCCCTAAAATCGCTACACTGTCCCTTAGCAGTCCCCGGTGCAATCAGAAAGGCTCCCCGATTCTACCAACCAATCAACATCACCGAAAGCTGTCTGCAATAGCGTGTAGCGATTGTATGGAAACCAAGCTTATGTAGCAGGGATTGCATTGTCAAACACTCACACAGAGCAGAAATTGGAGTAGATTCAGATTTTTTATTCAATAATAATTTGATAATTCAGTGCTGTGGGAATGTAGAAATTGATATAAAGTAAAGTGTTTTTGTACTATATTTTTATTTGCTAATTTCAAGCATTTGTTTTCCTTTTCATGTCTTCCTCTGCCTGCCTTGCCTTTTTCCACTGCAACCTTCCCACAATACCTCATCTGTCGATAATTTTGGCTGTGGTATAAGGTAAGGAGCCTTAGGATTTTCTTTTTTAAATTCTACTAGGCTAGAAAGTAAACCCTCCCCAGTGTTTAACCTTCAGTCACCACCTAAGCCCACTTCCTCTGATAATAATGTTAAGGACCAAAGAACTAAAAATCTGGGTAACACACAAGAAGCAATCACATCACTAAATAATCCCAATGATACGAATAGTGATAATCGCAGTGAATATGTAAAGGGAATTTGCAGCATTGATGGAATTAATCAAAGACTGTCATTAGGAAAGCTACAAGGAATGTCAGAACAAACTGTGCCATTAGCCAGTTTAGCATCAAGTCAGAAAATTGGTAGTAATGTTGGTGTGACATTGAGCAGCTTGGCAAAGACACATCTTGGCTCTGGGCCTAAAGCTACCTCTAGCCTACACTTAGGTGCAAAACATTCTCCATTTGTTGGACAGTTGCTCTCTACTTTAGCTAATGCACCTGGTGGTGTAAAACTTGGTCCAAAAACAAGCTCCTTGAGTGGGCTCCAGAAGAATTCATCCACTGCTAAACCAGTCAGTTTAAGCACCTTGGCAACTGATCATTTGTCAAGCAGTCCTAAATATCAGTTAGTCGGTGATTATAAGGGTGAAAAAGTTGGTTCACCAGGGCAAGGTGGCACATTAAATTCCTTGGCCACAAACTACTTGAGTAAAGAGAGATCAGGAATCCCACCACCTAAAACAACAGAGAATCCTGTGAGCAGTATTGTCCTAAAGAAGTCAAGTCTTGAGTCCTCAACCAGTAGCAGTCCAGAAGAAAGCTCTTTGACCCATCGACCAAAAGGAGCTACCAGAAGAAGAGGACGGAAGGCTTTAGCAAAACAAAAGCACACGAAGGTGGAAACTGAAACCCGCCAATGCCTGGTTCCACAAATAGCTGGAGAACTGGATCTTGAGACATCACCCATGGCTCAGATGTCTGCATTCTCAAGAGCAATGTGTGCAGAGCCTGAATTAAGAGTTCTTCCAAGACATCTGCAGTCCTTATCTGCATCCCCCTGCCATCAGTCATTCAGCCCACCGGAGCCAAGTACTGGGACATTCCAATATAAGAGGCAGTTGTCACAGACCTCACATGACAATTATAAAACAATTATCCCATTTGATTTTTCTACGCCCTCTCCTGATGATATAATTAAGGAAAAACATAATGCTGCATTTACAAGAAGCAAAGAGGGGGGTAAAGACAGTAAGTGATCTGCATGCATATATAGTTCAAATTCACATTGATTAAACATAAACTAAAGTAGATTTAAATTTTACCATTTCTATCAAACTTTTAGCCTACTGAGATCTTCAATACATCAAATAGTTTATATTTTATAAACACAGTCTTTTAAATTTTAATATATATTTGTTAATTGTAGTTAGATAATTGTATGAACATAAAATAAAATTGTGTGTCATAGTAGTATGTTGTACTTTAATTGTATACATATATTTTAACATTATTACCGTTCATTTAAAAAAGGATGGATAATAAATTTTATATCTTTTAATGAACACAATTCCGGTAACTGATTGACAGTGAATGATTGACTCCAGGATTAGACAATTATACTACATTTTGATGGAAAAAACAATACTTGTATGGTTAAATTCAAGCGTTCACTTTCAGAGATTTCCATAACAAGAATGCGACACATACTGAATACTACAAACTAAAACACTTTCACCACCTCATCTACATTAATCGCACTAGGTATCCTCCAAAGTTTTGCTACCTGCATTCTTGCCAATAGACCGATTCCGCTAGGTCACCGTCGGTCATTTGACGTATAAATTGTGAACAAGCAGCGCGAGAGACGCTAAGTAATAGGAAACCGTGTGGCTTCTTCGGAGTGTTTCTGCTGTAAAGCACATATTTTATATTGAATAATGATGGTTGGAATGCCAGTAAACTATACCAAATTGATTTTAAGTTGAACTTGAGAATTTTGCCATAATGGTTTGCTAATGCTCCAAAAGACACTAGCCCCATTGAGATTTCCGAGAAATGCTAGGACTAGGCCCAGCATACCTACGCCTGATTGGGTATGTACGAGAGTCTTTGATCCACAAACTGCTATTACGAAAGGTCACATAAATTCCAAAGCATATGAAGCACAGAGAATGCTAGAATAAGTAAATAAACACTATTTTGAACAATCTTAGTGCCTTTCCTTGCCAGTTATTACACGTTAATAGTGGGTGGTTGTTTTCGCAACCCATGTTAGCGTTTCCTGTACTTTCACACTGATCGCACTGTAAGTTCTCCATAGTTATACCGACTATATGTCTACCACCAATAATAAGGCAGATGGCATCCCATCGACATCATGTGTGTTCACACAGAGTGGAGAAACATAAGTCAGTAGACATTTCACTGATGCATTGTGTACTAGGCATTATAATACTGACATGAAACTAAATATTTTAAATTACATGTTAACAATATAAAAGAATAATGATATTCTTGTTTGTTTTTCTTTAATAAATTGTGAATTTTAATTGTACTTTAGTTTCTATTTGAAAATTATTTCTGAAGGCACAAATGTGAATTCTAAGGCATCAGATACCATGCTTACACTGCCCTTGCAGTCCACACCCCCTAGAAAGAATTTCACTTCACCGACAAGAGGTGTGACAAGGGGCTTTAATGTGGCCAGTGATGACTTGAATTCAGGAATGGGAAAGCGGTTCTCAGTGGATTCTGGAAAGAAGTTGGACATTTCAGTGTATGTAGACAAATTTTGTATTTTTTATTTTTTTATGAACAAAACCATAGAAGCAGTTACCTGTATGTATAAACTTTAAGGCAGTTATGCAATGTGCAATGCAAAAAAGTGTGTCCACCTGATACCTGATAAATCCATTTTGTAAATATAAGCAGAGGATATCATCCCTGTTTTTTCAGATATTCTTGTATGAAGGAACATGGGCCTATTTGTTGTAAAGTTTCTGGGCAGGCTTCTTCAACCTTGAATTGAAACTACAGTATTTCAAATCAGACATAGAAACAAGTAGTGTTGCCTCAATTTTGGAGGCCAGACAAAGCAGTGCTAACAGTTAAAATGGGGGTGGGGAGTTGGTTCTCATAGCTGAAAGTATATTATGTACATAACCTGTATTTTGTGATTGAAGTTAATACTGAGTATTGTTGTGGTAAAATAATCAGTGTTTTCTGTGTTGCATTCCTTCAGAGGACAAAGACTGCCAACGGTACGAAGCACACCAGACTTAGTTTCTATGGCAAATTCAACACCTAACCGAAGGGAAAGCAAAAGTGGTAGTGGAAAATTGGTATGAATATTATTTTTGCTCCTATTAATTTTTTAATAATTCTTAAATTACTGTACACTGTACAACCCACAGGCTGATTAAAAAATGCACCCAGGCAAAGATGGAGAGTGTGCAAATAGATGCCTTCTCATGTTATGCTATATAACACTGGCATATCGTTATTGTTTTTATTATTAGTAGTAGTATTATATACTGGAAAGTCATTTCAACTTCTTTTAGCTTTGCTCATAATACAGTATGCATTACATTAACTCCTTCATAAATTTCCAACCATTTTTCCTGTATTTTGAACCATATTAATCATCCTGTTTTTTTTAAATATCAGACTGTTGTTTTTATGCACTTAATTATTTTTGGCTTCAGGGAATAGACATTGCAAAAGCCTTTGAGGAACGACAAGCAGAAAAGCCTCTGCTTAATCTGGTGGTCATCGGCCATGTAGATGCGGGCAAGTCAACGTTGATGGGCCACCTGTTACAACAGTTAGGTAACGTTAACCAACGGACAATGCATAGATATGAACAGGAATCAAAGAAACAGGGCAAAGCCTCGTTTGCATATGCATGGGTTTTAGATGAAACTGGTGAGGAAAGGCAAAGGTAGGAGTTCACAAAATGAATATTCATGAGATGATTTTAAACATGTAGATTGACTTGATAGTCTTTTTGCCATCATAGATTTAATCTGGCTTGGTAATTAAAGTATATATCAATATTTAAACATGACTTTTAGTTGGTATTTCATAGGATGTTCCTCATTCATCCGGTAGTTCAGCAAATCAAAGAGAAATCCATCCTATCATGAAAAAGAATTTTTTATTATTATTAGTGAAAATAAACTGTTAAGTCTTTAACCAAATGTCAGTTTGTTATATTTTTACAATATTCTGATGCCTACAGTAAGCACTCTTAATTTTAATGAGTTTGTTTCAGCCAACTACTCATGTTTATAAATGATTACCACAAGATGGTTTTGTCTTGCTACATGTACAGTACCATGATTTATTAAAATCTCTCTTGGAGTTAATGGGTAATATAATTATGCTAACAATGCATATTTCTTTCCTGTCCAGAGGGATTACAATGGATGTTGGCATCAATAAGTTTGAGACAGAGCATCGGATAATCACTCTACTTGATGCGCCAGGACACAAAGATTTCATTCCAAACATGATTACAGGTGCTGCTCAGGTATAGATGACCTACTGATTTGTTTCATTTAGCTACCAGGCCTCCCACCATCAATCTGTCTATTATCTCAACTGTAGAAACATATGTGGCCATTAGTACAATGGTCTTATCCTGTCCTTTGGCAAGTGACTTTATCATTTGTTTTTATTTCCATGAAGTAGAAGGGGGTACTGTAAGATGAGCCTTTGTTGAAGCACACTCCCATCTTTGGAGTAGACACTTCAAGGAAATAAGTGGCTTAATGAGCTTTCTTGACATATTTTATACTCTGGTGGTATTTTGTGTCAGGATAAATAATATGAATGATGTTTGCCCTTCCTGACTTGTTATGTTATCGTACAAAATGCTCAGTGCTTAGTACGGTCTCATATACTTGCCAGAAAATAATCTTGCAAGTGATTTATGTGGGAATCAAACCCACAACCTTCAGATAACCCACTGCTACTGGGGGATTGGATTCATCAATTGCCACCAAGCAGAAGCTTGGTTTTCTAGTGGTTAAGACACCAGGCTAGTTATCTGGAGGTTGTGGGTTCAATTTCCACCGGAATCACTTGCAAGATTTTTTTTCACAAGCATTGGTAACATACAGAGCATTCAGTACGGTAACACGTCAGGTAGGCAAACATCATTTGTAATATTTCCAGGAGACTTAAGACCCGTGAGATGCATGTGTTGCTATGGTACGGCCTTACAGCCTTACAACCAATACTTGATTCTGATGCTAGTCACATTTGTCCAGTTGTCTGTTAATTATTTTTTTACTCTCTTAAAGGCTGATGTTGCTGTGCTAGTGGTTGATGCAACACGAGGAGAGTTTGAAACTGGTTTTGAGTCTGGTGGCCAGACGAGAGAGCATGCAATGCTGGTCAGGTCATTAGGGGTCACTCAGTTAGTAGTAGCCGTCAATAAGTTAGATACAGTGGACTGGTCAGAGGACAGATTCAATGAAATTGTACAAAAATTAAGTCATTTCCTGAAACAGGTGGCTGGGTTCAAGGTAATATGGTCATCTTTGTCATGAAAGTTATTGTAGAAAATCGGAAGTAAAAAAAAACAACTATGATCAATTAGTAATTAAGTTTATAAAATGCATTATATAAATAAAAATTATTTGTATTTAAATAAAATTTTTAAATTGAAATATATATTTACTAATTCATGGGGGAATGCATTGGTAATATGAATAGCAGATAGATACTGATAGGATGGATGTATACTTAATGAAGCTCACTCATTTAATTGATTACCAACTGGTAGTACTTTATAGACTAACTTAAATTATATATTACACAAGCTCTTGCCAGCAGTCTATGCTGGCGAAAGAGTTTGTAATAAATAATTTAACTTTGTCTACACCTGATGAAGCCAGCATAGTCTGCAGGTGAAAGCTGTGTAATAGATAATTTATGTTAGTCTGTAAAGTGCTGCCAGGTTTTTATCTTATACGTCAACCGGACTAACATGGCTTTATCTACTAATTGTATTCAACCAATTGACAAAACCTATATAAAAAATATAAGTAAGATATAGTTTTGTGTATGTGTATAAGTGTGATATAATTTTGTGTATGAGGAAAATATTTTTTTTGTCATTGTATTTTTCAGTTTTAAATTGGAAGCTAATATAGATCCTTATTAAAAAATACCATAAACTGTATGCATTTTAAACAATATTGTAAATTAAGTAATTAATTAAAGTATTGTGAACAAATTAATATTATATTTTTTTATTTTAGTTTATAAGTTCAGGAAGATATCATTAACTTATAGTCAGCATAAACATTATTACAACATTTTTCCAGTTTTCTCTATACATATCACCCTTACTGGGACATTACCAATATGTTTTTGAAAAGGATCTCAGTAGATCACATCTATTTCTACACTGCACTTTGTATATTTTCTTGATTAGGAATCAGACTTGGTATATGTACCCTGCAGTGGATTAACAGGAGAAAACCTGTCAAAAAGGACACAAGAAAAACTGCTTCGTCAGTGGTACAAGGAGAGGTCCTTACTGGAGTGTATAGGTAGGACATATTATATTTTTTTGTTTTATTCCTTAAGGCACATGGCAAGGAGTAGCGAATTAATCACTGTCCTATTAGACAGGTGGCAATCCCTTCACATGACAAACATATAAACATGATGCTCTACATAAACTAGGTCTAATAATGAGTCTTATGGAGTGGAGTTGTTTTTGTTGTGAGAAAAATTTCTGTGATCTGACAGGATTTGAACCCAGGACCCTGGGATTGGAAGGTGAGCATCTAAACACCAAGCTATTCAAATACACTCAATTGTTTTTAGGGATTGGGGGTAATATATTTATCAAAATCAACAGCAATTAGGTATCATGCTTACATGGTTGTAAAATTTGTAAGATACACAAAGAACTATATAAAGTAAAACCTGTAAACATATAAACCTCTAAAATATGCAAATAACCAGCTTATAAAATTCAATAAGCATTATGAATTATTGCAAATTATTATATTAATTTCTACTTTATACCTGAAAATTATTCATGTGAATACTAATTGTTAACAGACATACATGTCAGGTTGAAAAAGGCCTTAAGGGTGCTTCATTTTTCCATTGGTCTCCTTTAATTTTTTTTATTTTTTTATTTTGTTCTCATCTACAGATTCATTCAAACCACCAAAGCGATCTCTAGATAAGCCATTTAGACACTGTGTGTCAGATATTTTCAAAGGTTAGTGTTCACATTTTTGTTTACTTTTTTTTTTGTTTCTTCCTTTGTATAATGGTACTGTATGTAGTGCCATGAGTTGCAGGGGATCAAAATTATTTCATAGAAATGTATTGTGGGTACTGAAATAACCTGAGTGCCATCCTTGTGGATACCAAGAATTTATATTCTTGGTATCCACAAGGTATTATGGTATTATTATATTAGTACTGTTCATATACTGTACCAACTGCTTCAGAAGTAATGACGCTATTAACAAAATATTATTACAATATATTTAATTTTAGCCTACATGACACCTAATAAAAATGATTTATCCTACACCAATGTTGATCATTTCTTTTACTAGGTATGGGATCTGGCTTCAGTGTAAGTGGGAAGATAGTGTCAGGAAGTGTCCAAGTTGGACAGAAGGTGGTGGTTATGCCAGCCGGAGATAGTGGAGTTGTCAAATGTAAGTTTCAAACTTGTGTGTATCCATATTTCAAAACATCTTTTACTCTCTGCCTTGATAAAATTATGTCCAAGTACACTATCGGTATGTACCAGAGACGATTCGGGCATCTAGAAACATGAGTCACATTCAACCCTTGGCTGATGGCCCATAAATCTGTCTATCTTCGCCCGATCAAAATTGTTACTCCAATAGATCACAGGCACCTTGAGCTTGGTTTACCTGAGGCGAGAAATAGTTTTGTCCAAATGTTGGCTGTTGTAACAAAATGATTCTTCAAGAAAATATATCTGAAGTGATATTTTGGCAAAAATTAGGTTTCAATTTTCCTGATAAGTTTAATATATATATTGCTTAGTACCTAAATTTCTGAGTTGATTTACCTAAAGTAATCATGTTTTTGAGGCACATTTTGTAAAGCCATTTTTAAGAATTGTTAGGAAAACCAACGCAAAACTTATCAGTTGTTTGTCTTTAGAGGCAATTTTCTCTTAAGTATGTTTTTAGACACCTGAACTTAAAAAAGATCTTACTCCGGTTTTACTTAACCTAGGAACTTGAGTTAAATACCAAAATATAGCTTGTATAATCATCTATTTAAATATATCAGTAACACATTTTTCATACCACAAGATTAATTTTTTCACGACAGCTCACAAATGTTTAGTTGAATTTGAAAATTGCAAAAAAAAAAAAAAAAAAATTGCAGCTGTAGGAGGTCTGCCACCGAGAGCAGTATCATTTAAATTTAAATAGGTTTTTTTAATGAACCAATTTTTGCTGCTATATCCACAAGAATAAAATAAAGTTAATGGCAGTCTTATCTGTAAAGTAAATATAATGTTATCTTATTTATTGTATCCATGTTGAGTGCTCTCAAAAGTTTGGTGAATAAATATATAAATAATTGAGTGTTGATATGTAATCTGTTGTTTGTACAGGGGTTGCAGACACATTCGTGTTATGGCGCATTGTTGCTGATGCAACCCCTGGACCGTTTGATGTCAAATAAATAAGTGAAATGAAAAAATGAAAAATGATATTGGTTTGTTTATACAGCTGTGTTTATTCATGAAGAAGACATGAAGTGGGCTTGTGCAGGGGACCATGCAACACTCACAGTGACAGGAATTGATCAGATGAATGTAACGTAAGCATCCAACACTATTGTGTTTTAAATGATTTGGCATTAATTGATTTTTAGATATGCTGCCACCTAAATTATATATACTTGAATGTTAAAATTGATTAAATTGTGGATTTTTACAAGTTATTAGCTTTCACTGAAGTTAGGTGAGAAAAAACTATTTTTTAATAAATTTCTGAAGGATCATATAAGTGATAATTTCACTTTTCTTTCAAATATAGTGTGGGCAATATTATATGTAATGTAGATCAACCAATTGCAGCCTGTGTTCGGTTTAGAGCAAGGATCATCACTTTCAGCTTAGAAATACCAATTACAAAAGGATTTCAGGTAAGACCAGACTAAAAAAAAAGATATGCTGTCTGTGTTGAGTCAATATATGTATTTTAATGAAAGCTATTGGTGAGTGGATTATTATGTGGAAGCCAGTATCAATATTTGCATGTGTTTCTGATGTAGGTGCTGATGCATTACCAGACCTTGAGTGAGCCAGCAACTGTCAGGAAACTAGTTAGCATATTACACAAAAGCACTGGAGAAGTACTCAAACAAAAACCAAGGTGATTGCACTTTTTGATTCCTTCACTACTGTCAACCCCTTTATTTTAAAATGTATACAATTAACTTTTAATCAGGAAAATAAATGGTTGTAAATTTGTTGAATTTTGTAAGGCAACTGCCGGTGGGAGTGATTTTCAATGCAACTGTTGATCGACATTGCACTGTGCTCATCAATGGATTTGTATCAGAACTTGTATTAATATATTTAAATTTATAACTACATAATTCATAAGCCACATATAATTACTGTTACTTCGAACTATGGAGATTAATAGCTAGATACACTCTTTGGCTAGCTTTTGAACTTTATCTCTAGACTGTACTTCGGTAGAGGTAATTTAATGGATGTCACCTCAAATTCCAATTAATATTACTGGTAACTGCAGTATGTAGATTTTTAGTTAAATACATTCAGTATATCAAAGGCATTGGTTAGCTTTTGGACTAGATCTTTAAGCTGAATTGTGGATAAAATTAATGGCAATGTTAAGGTAGTACAATTTTATTAAATAAGGTATAAAAATATCTTTAGAATATTTGTTAATATTATTATTATTGTCATTGTGTTTAGGGAATTCACTTTTAAGTGGATAATCAATTGTATTTATATGCAATGCTGTTTTTTTTATAAGGCAGTATGAAATAAAGTGAAAGAAAATGATGCATTTTGTCTGATATGTACATTATTACAATTCGTGTTATAATTGTCTTGCATGTCTTTACAGGTGTCTTACCAAACATACAAATGCTATCATTGAGATTGATGTTTCACGGCCGATAAGTTTAGAGTTATACAAAGATTTTAAAGACCTTGGACGATTTATGCTACGGTACAGTGGATCAACAATAGCAGCTGGGCTGGTAGTTGAGGTGAGCAACCAACAGATTATTGAACTGATTATCTTGTATGACTTGGATTTGGAATGCTATGTAATGTGTATGGTATGATAAAGGCACTATCTCTACTGCAAGTTCAATATCCCATGACCAGGGGTAATAATTATCTGGGGCTTCGGATATGTACTACCTTAGATAGTACATTGTAATCATTGTTTATTACTGTATTTTTTTTTATATGTATATTTATATGGTATACATTCTGAGTGTCCAGATTACTACAATTGTATTTTCCCCTTTAAAAATGTACATATAATTGCATTGATGATAGAGTTGGTGGTTAGTTGTTTTTAGAAACTAAATACAATTCTGTTGGATATTTTAAAATAAATATATTTTTCTTTATAGATTCTGAAGTAAACACAAGGTTAGCGTTGCAAACATCCACAGCATTGTAACACCAATGTAAAAAGCAAGACGTTTTGTGCAAAGCACTGTTGTATATACAGCTGAAGTGCCCGTACTGTATTCATTTGCCAGTTAAATAGGGCGCCCTCTTTCAGCCTAAAGAGCAAAAGCAATATTTTTACAGTACATACAATTTTATTGAGCAACAAAGTGGGACAACCATTTGATGTTGGCAGGACAATATTAACTGGTCATGCCCAAATGACTATGTGAAAGAATGAAGCTGTCTGTATATGAGTAGTAATCAGTTTGTGGATTACACACCAGATTTTTTTGGTTGAAGGCAAGCGTGCTTGTTAATTATTCAATTAACATGTACGGTGGGTTCTGATATTGAAGAGGGCTAGATATCATGGCCAAGGTTGTATAGCAGTTCGTAAAGTAATGTAATATTTGAATGGCTTTTTGGCTATCCAGTGACAGGAATAAATTTGTACTAGGTTTTAATTTAAAGAGGTGAATTAAAAATATAAAATCATGAAACAAAAATAAAAAAAGTGTTATTGAATATCTATGCTAAATGAAAGGTTATATTAACTTATTTCAATAAACTTGTTTGGGGTGGGGTTAGAGACTTAGCGATGACTGCTTAGTGAACTAAAATAAATCTATCCTATTTTTAAGATTTGAGCAACACAAATTGTTTTTTTCTGTAATCTATATATTTTGAAAGTGTCTGCAATTTTAGCTTTTACTATTTTACCAGCCAAGAGAAATTTTAGAAAATAAATGGTAATGCATATGAATATTTTCTTCCTTCGTTCTGAAATCAGAATCTTATATTTCAGAGGTGTAGTTAAAATCAGGATTGTTTAGCACTGCCCAGCAGTAAAATGATGTAGAACATGTTATGTTGTGTCGGGTTACTCATGACAGTGAGTTGAAAACTCAAGAATGATCAGTGAAAGGTATCAGCCTCACATAAAAAATATAAAATAAAATTCTTCCATACTTTCAACATTGATTTTGTTTTTGTCTTTATAGATGACAGCAATGCTATCAAATTTTATTTGACAAAAACATGTGACATGCCTAAATATGGTCATGATGACATCACATCATGAATATAATATGAGCATACAATAGTCTTTGTCTGGAGAGAACTTAAAAAAAATTTGGTTACACATTCCAGGTACAGCACATGAGATCATTTTGTTACCAGATGAGAAAATATAAATTTTATGATCATGGAACTTTAAATAAACCCCCCCCTCATAAATAAACATGCTATTACTAAAGTATAACAATTGGAGACCATAGACAGACATTTGGTTGTGGACATCCATGACCCCTTTTGGAAAATTTCTGGAGCAGGTGCTAAATGGAAAGTAGTGTACATGACAAAATGTAGACAAGGCTACATGCTGAATGGAGATTTTGCATCAAAATTCTGTACACTGACTGGATGCTTCAAACCATGTAAGGTCTTGGACTCTACTAGATTGCAGGAGGGAAAAGGCATTTTGTTTAAATAATTTGTTTTAGAAGATTTCACAAATTTTTATGAAGTGCGCAATTTCAATTTGGATACACGTTGAATGGAAAGTGCTGGATTTTAAATTTATAGCAGGGGCAACATCAGCAGGTGGGCCACCTTACCCAGTTACGACAGTAAAACTTGTCAGGGAAATTTTAAATTTTTTTTTTTCAGCTGCAACTATGGTGGGACTAAGGTGTGATGCATATGTAGGAGAAAGATGGAGCACAATTGTTTGGCGCAATGCTAATGTTACCGCTAATTTATAGGGGTCACAGATTGATCATGGCATCAACTGTTTTTAAAAAATGCTACTTTGAAGTCAAGTATGTAAACTTTTATTTATACTCAATACAAAATATTTGCAAAATATATATATAATGTATATATACCACAGCAATCTTTTAAAAAATTTAAAAAAAAACCTATTTTGAGGAGTAATTGTGCCTTTGATCATTTTTATATTTTTTATAAGTTGGCGCAATATAAATTGTTCATCTTTATATTAATTATAACAAAGCTATAGTTATACATGTGTACTGCAATGTTAAACTGTCTCTACACTGTTTTCCTTTTTTATTTTGGTTGTGTTTGGTTTCTTCCCTCCCTTCTTTCTCTTAGTTGAGTTTGACTGTTCTAACTTTCTCATCTTTTCTTCTGCAAGGTTTTGCAGTGCCTTTTCAATGGCTTCTTGTTCTACCCTGTAATGTTAAGAACATTTGGTTTAATAATAGCCAATGATAGCATTTTATCTTATTCTAAATATCATACAATTCAAAATACAGTTAAACATTCCAACGTCAACTTTGCCTAACTCAAATAATTTCTAAGTTGATCTTATTTTACATGACAAATTGTTGTGATTTCCATTAATTGATAATCTGTAAGTCAAATTTATCTAAGTCAAACAATTTTTCAAAAAAACTGTATCACTGCCCTATATGCTTAGTTGTGGATTCAGATGAAGATACACCATATTAAGAAATTTATATTAGTATGTATATGAAATCGTTGATCAAGTAGACATACATGTCAAAAAATGCAACACATTCCTGATGACCATACAGCTGAGCAATATCCCTGGGGGTATCTCCAGAGGTATCTGGCATGTCCATTGGAGCTTTGAATTTGTGTAACACACGTAGGATACCAACTTTACCAATTTCAGCAGCAAAGTGGGCTGCTGTCCATCCGCTCTCTGTTGCCATTGTAGCATCAGCTCCGTTGTCTAATAAGACACGGGCACTCTCAGCATGGCCTAGAAAAAATCAAAAGTATTGCTTTATAAAAGATGACTCAATTTGATATTTTACATATATAGGCCTAGTATGACCATGTGTAGTGTTTTAAAATTATCAGAGCCAATTTAACGTGATTTAACCTGTCAAGCCCAGCTAGACATTATATCCAGTTGATAGTAATTAGTATTTAATTATTAATACATAATATTAATTAGCTGATTGATCAGAATATATTGTGCAAATATTTAGCAAATTTAAGCAGTTCAATAATAATAATAATATTAACATCATGTTTACATTGCTGCTACATCATCATTTAACAAACTGATTTCTTCCATTTGTTTTTTGAAATTTGTTAATTGAAATTAACTTTACAATCCTTTCTCTGTGGTGTATACTGTTGGCCTGGGCCTACATTTTAAGAGAGAGTCTTACCTTTTATGGCAGCCCAGTGCAATGGTGTACGACTGTCCCATTCAAGATCTGGTAAATTTACATCATATCTAGACGTGTTCATTAAGGCCTCGATTTGATCACTATCACCACTCGCGGCTGCTTCGTGGACCTCCATTTAATTTGTGGCTAGGCCTACATACAGTACAGGGCCAGCTAGCCTAGGCCTGCCTCACATTCGAACTCCAATTATATATTTCAATTAGCTAGGCATTTCACTCAAATTTGCAATACGATTTTTTTATGGGATATAAAGCACACGTTATTAAACTTACAAAATAAGTAGCAAATATACTTTTGGCGATAACCGTCAACTCTTAACTAATCAATATACAGTATTGTTGAACAACAGAGTTGCGGACAATGTAAACATTCCAGGTAAATCACCATGGTTGACTGACGCTTTTAAGTTGAACAAGAGGGCGGGCTTTAACAATACAAGACACCAAGCGCAGCAGTGTAGTAGAGAAAACTGTATGAATGTTCGTATATTGTAAAGCTCAAATACATCGCAAACAGTAAAATTACGGTAGTAAAGCAAGACAGTATGTATTAAGTACGTATATTTATTGGATTACTTAAAAGAAATGTTTTCCATGTTCATGTATGAATGTTACTATTACAGAGATCCCAAGTTTGAAAACCAAAAAATAGGGAGATTTTTTTCGTGAAGCGATCGCCTCCTGTAGCGACGCGCTGTGACGCCTTACGACGCGCTGTGCAACATGAAAGTATTACACAAAATGAAGAAAACAAACAATTTTTATTAATTTGTTTACTTATATTTAACAATTTTACATTTGTTTACACATTGCAGTTGGCCTATATAAATTTATAAATATTATTATTTATTTAGAATTTTGCTAGTAAAGCATTCTTGGCAGCAGTATCAACAAGGCTTTGCTTGGTTCATTGGCATATTAGAGGCTATGGCTGATTTACTACATCTCTTCAAAGAACATAGAATTCTAGCAAGGTATACTGCAACTTGCACACGTTTGCTGAAAAATTAAAAAATAAATATATATTTTTAATTTAGTTAGTAAATCATACTACGTGTTTTAAGTCATCATTTATATATGTCTAGCCTATACTAATTGGTACATAATGCCATAAAAAAACATTAAATCCTGCCTCGCTAGGCTCCATCTGTACGTGCGTAACTAGGCCTAAGGCCGCAGAGTCACGACCACCACTACACACAGACGCCCACTGAACACAACACACATACCCTGCAGTGCAGATAGAGCCTAGGTCTACATGTATTTCGGGATTGATATTAAAATAAACTTTTCGGAAGATTACTTAGTACCAAAACCTACTAACTATGATTTTTTTAGTATTGTTATTAAAGAACTGAAGCTTACTTGAAAGAAAAAGTATTTTTTATGCACCGATTCTACAAAGTTCCAAATCTTCGCGGCGAAAAAAACTTGGGGCATCCATTCTATCCCATGTGATTTCTAATTTTGTTAATTTGTTGAAATTTATTTACTCAACTGACAGCCATCTCATTGATTGAGGTCGGCGCGGATGAGAAAAGTCGTAACATGGAGGATAAACAAGGCGATTCTACCACGGATCTAGGCCTGTCTCTTATACACATCTAGATGTGTATAAGAGACAGCTCTATGACATCGTGGAAATCACATTTTTCGTGAAATTTTCGGGATATTTAAAAAAATCGGGAGATTATTAATAAAAATCGGGAGGGCGGGAGACGGCCTCAAAAATCGGGAGAAACCCGCAATTTTCGGTAGACTTGGGATCTCTGTTAATGAACAGTTAGATAGTTTCTTAAACTTAGTTGAATCAGAGAACAAATTCGTCATAGATGTGATATAATCAGTTTTCTTCATTATCGCAACACCATTTCCTTTATCAGGTTTAAGAATTACATACTTATTACGTAAGATTTTTTAAAGTATTAATACGTTTGGCATCACAATTTAAATTTCGGTTATCAAAGTCAAGAAAGTTACATGTCATTGCACGAATTGAGTTCTTAATTTTCTCACGTTCAATGAATGATTTAGGTCGAGCATCAGCAAATTGATTCAGCATAAACAAACATATCAGAGTCCTTAGGTCGTGTAGCTAATCCATTACGGATATTAAATGTTAAGACAGATTCTTCTTCCTTAGATAATGTTTCGCCAGTTAAGTTAGTAATTATATGGTTAGGGTTCTTACACGTTCCATTGATTATTGCATGTTCACGTAGAAGGTTGTTAAATTTACGTCCATGGCGGTAAGATACCTTACGCATTTCATTATCTACAGTAGTCCTAACATGATGCTTAGGCACGTAACCATGTAGTAGACTTAAGGAGAGCGTCGTCAGGGACTGAAAAACTGTTCTTGTTTACCTTAAGTTGAGAGTGCTTGTCCTTTATTTCGTCCTTTAGAATGCTGCGATGATATTTTATGTCAGTTGTACACATGCCAATTCCATTCATCTTCTAGCTTTACATAACAGCACGTTTTACTCTTATAGCTGAAAAACACAATACATGCAATGTATTGGTGTTGAAATGGAAATATTATGCATAGAAATATGGGGTTTTGGTTTTTAGCGTCGCATGTTTAAATTTTTTTAATGCATTAAAAATATTCCAAATCAGTTCCGAAAAATGTGTAAGTTAGTATATAAAACGCTGCATACCTTTACTGTAATTGCACTAATTTAAATATTCATTAACTATTATTCTGTATATGGTAAACTTGTTTTTTTAATTGTCCTCATATCCACACTCTACTGGTCACCAAAATTAAAACATTTTTTCATTGAAACATGAAACATTTTTGTGGAAAGTGAAATTTAGATCCATTGATTATTTTTGGAGATGTTTAGGTCTTGGATTTTAAATGACCCTCAAATTCACACCCGAATTTGAATCGTCATCAACACTTAATAACATCTTCCTTGTAACTTGGTTAAACTTTAAAAATTTAATCATTTCTTTATTGATTTATGCCAAACACTCCCTGCTATGTTCAATTTTGTCTGTGCAGCCGTTTTTTAAAATGTTACACGCACACACACACACCCACACCCACACACACGCAAGCTTATACAACTGAAAACATATATCTCATGGTGAAGATAATAAATGATTTGTATAGCACACATATCCATTATAAGTGCTCAAGGCGCTATTTACATGTAACAGAAACTAGTCTGGCTTTGTAATTTGTAATAAATAACTTTAACTTGGAAAATATTAAAATATGTGTTAAAATAATAAGTATGTGTTATATGCTCTGGTTAAAAGGATAATTTAAATACCGGTATACATTTAGGGAGAATAAAATAAATTATTAATTATGATAATAATTTAGAAACAGCAAAGCTTTTAAAATCCTCATAAATATAATAATTTAATAAATATAATAAATAATCTAACCCAATGAATTTTACAATAATAATTTTCTCTTAATACATGAACAAAATTAAAAATTTAATGGTATTTATTATATAATATAAATATATTTAGGCTATTTGGTAATAAATTATCTGACCAATGAACACAATTTGAATTTATTTGGGCATCATAATTTAGACTTTTAACTAGTAATATGAGATCAGCTCGAACTAAAATGTTTAGATAATATTTTTTTTTTCTGATGTCTCTTTCATGATTACAGTATTACCATTCACATTTATTTTGTTATGATATCATGTATTCTTTAATTGATAAATTCTGATAATTGGCAATAAAATATTAAATACTACTTACTTGTTTTTTGATCAGATCAGATCAAACTAGCTGCATCAATACACTTTTTTTAAAATTTTTATAAGAACACATTTTATAAGAACATTGAGGTTGAAACTGCCCAAAAATTAAGAACACAATAAGAACAAATTGAGGCTGAGGTAAAATGTCAAAAGGGGTCCAGAGAACTCCGACAGTTGAGGGATTGAAAGGTTAATTAATTGGTTTTAGAGTGTCATATTCTGTAAAATTCACATTGATTTTTTTTAAAATTTAAGGCAGAGGCCGTATTATCTGTAAATACAGTTAACTAAATAAAAACCAAAATCAGTTGGTAGCACTTTTTGACTAACGATATGTTTTCATTTACGTGTTCATCTAATCGCTGGGACTTCATCGGTTGTAGTGTAGTGTATTACAATAAATAAATCAATTGACTGATTATTAATTGATTGAATTGGCAACTGGAAAAATCTACAGATGATAAACCTACTATAGAAAAATAGCAAAGAGTTAGGAGATGTTATTCTGGGATACGGACATACTGTAGAGTAGATAATACTGTATAAAATTGTTTGTGTAATCTTGCGGTTTGATTGCGGATGTATCCTGTAACGCAAAATAATTTTTACTTCGCAGAAACAAGACTCTAATCGATTCGACTTGAAAAAGTAACGTCCAAGGAAGAAAAGCAACAAGCCGTAAAGAAAGCCAGATCCTGCATCTAAAATAAAGAAATGCAAACCACAAAATGCGGCAAAGGGTATTGGGTGTTTATCAAACTATGCTGATATACAGAGGGCAATCATTGGACCTTTGGTGTTTTAGAAAGTATATAAAGCACCATTGACTGAGAGAAAAGTATCTTTCGCTAAGTACTTCGAAGTAGCGTCTTCTTCATCTGTAGAGCTCGTCCCTCACTACACTGTAC